GCCTCTTGCACACCCTCCACTGGGGATGTGCCCGCAACCAAGGTACAGGCCCTTGACCGGAATCGAACCTGGGACCTTTCAGTCCGCAGGCCGACGCTCTATCCACTGAGCCACACCGGTTTCGGCCTCTGCTCTATTTTCAAGCCTCGCCGCGGGGTCCACAGAGGGCCATTTGCACAGGCTGTTCCCATGCCTGGAGTCACTCTCCGCCTTCCCCTCTCCAGCCCGCCTTCACCTGCCGAACCCGGCTCATCCTTCCCGGGCCACCGCACTGGCCCCTCCTCCCCAAGACAGGGCGATGCCCTCTCTTCCCCAGCTCCAGGACCCGGGGCACGCCCTTTGCACCTGGATCTCCTTGCCTCCCGCTACCCTCCTCCCTCCCGCTACCCTCCTCCCTCCCACTAGCCCAGAGGTTCCTGCTTTCCTGACCACGCCCTGGTGTCCACCAGGAAGTTTTGAACTCTCACCCCACACACGCACAGCTGTTTGCTGACCCACCGTGGCAAGCAGGCCGCACGGATATGATAGGCGCAGACAGGACACACCCTCAGAGAGGAGGGTGACATGGTCCACACCCCAGAGATGGTCTCCAGGGTAACCAGACAGCCCAAACCCACCTGAGTGACAGTGGCTGAAGGCCGGGAGCTGTTCAGGAGTGGCAAACCGTCTGACTTCCCTCCCCCACACCCCACACCCCGGCGTCCGTCACCCAGGCCAGCTGTGGCCGCACAGGCAGTCCCTGCTCCCGGCCCGGGAGCTGCAGGATGTCTCCGTGCTCACCGTGGGCCGGCACTGTGCCAGAAATAACACAAGCGGTTCTCACCGTAGCCCCAGGGGGTCAGGTCTGCTTTTGTGCTCCGAGCACAGGTAAGGCCCAGAAAGGTGCAATGATTTGCCCAAAGCCACACAGCACACATCCCGGGTGACATGTGAACCCCGGCAGGGTCTGTGTTCCTGAGAGGTGAGCGCCGAGGGAAGCTTTCTTGGATGGAGGGAGGGAGGGAGGGATGGATGGATGGAGGGAAGGGTGGATGGATGGATGGAAGGATGGGTGGGTGGATGGGTGGGTGGATGGATGGAAGGAAGGAAGGAAGGAATAGCCGAAACCAGTTTGGTTCAGTGGAAGGAAGGAAGGAAGGAAGGAAGGAAGGAAGGAAGGAAGGAAGGAAGGAAGGATAAATGGATGGATGGGTGGGTGGATGGATGGAAGGAAAGAAGGAAGGAAAGAAGGAAGGAAAGAGGGAAGGAAGGAGGGAAGGAAGAAGGGAAGGAAGGAAGGAAGGAAGGAAGGAAGGAAGGAAGGAAGGAAGGAAGGAAGGATAAATGGATGGATGGGTGGGTGGATGGATGGATGGAAAGATGGATGGATGGATGGAAGGATGGATGGGTGGGTGAATGGATGGGAGGAAGGAACGGAGACAGCCAAAAAAGAAAAACAGAAAGTGACACAGAGGGCCGAAACCGGTTTGGCTCAATGGATAGAGCGTCGGCTTGGGGACTAAAAGGTCCCGGGTTCGATTCTGGTCAAGGGCATGTACCTTGGTTGCGGGCATATCCCCAGTAGGGGGTGTGCAAGAGGCAGCCAATCGATGACTCTCTCTCATCGATGTTTCTAACTCTCTATCTCTCTCCCTTCCTCTCTGTACAAAATCAATAAAATATATTAAAAAATAAAAAAATAAAAAAATAAAAATAAAAAAATAAAAAAAGAAAGTGACACAGAGGACAGAGACGGGGAGAAAGAAAGAGAGAACCTAGTGCTGGCGCTTTAACCCTGACCCCGGGCAGGAGCGTGAGAAACTGGCCACGTCTGCGGAGACCCAAACCCGCCTGGAGGTCGGCGCCGCGGGAACGCCCTTGGACGCGTCCCAGAGCCGGAGGAGGGAGGGGGCCCGGGGAGGGGGGACCCGGGGCGGGGTCAGCGGTGCCGGCTCCTCACCCCGGGTCTGCGGGGTCCACGATGAAGGCGGTGCATGTCTTCTTCTTGAAGATCTTGGGGATCCAGCTCTGGGGGCGGGCAGGGCGGGGCTCAGGTCACGCCCCGCGCCCCGCGCCCCGCGCCCCGCGCCCCAGCCCCGCGCCCCGCGCCCCGCGCCCCGCGCCCCGCGCCCCGCGCCCCGCGCCCAGGACCCGGACCAGGGACCCTGCGCTCCTCCCCTGGACTTAGGGGTCCCACCCCGCACCTCTCTCCTCGCCGCTCCCAGGGACCCAGGTCCCGGCCCCCCAAACCCCTTCTCCGTCTGACCCGGATCGGGGTCCCCACCGCCTCTCCGGCGCCCGCAGCCCGGCGGCCGGTACCTGCTCCTTCTCCGGGCCCGCCATGCCGCCGCCGCCGATCCGGCTCCCACATTCCCCCGCCACCGGCCTCAGGGCCGCCCCGGACAGACCGGATCTGCCGCTTCCCGCTGGCCGCCCGCCCGGAGGCGGGGCGTCTCCGGCTCCGGACGCGGGAGAGCGAGGCGGGGCGGAGGCGGACGGGCTGCCAGGCGGAGGCGCAGACAGAGCCACAGACACCCAGAGACCCAGAGAGAGGGGGACAGAGACCCAGAGAGAGAGAGGGGGACAGAGACCCAGAGAGAGGGGGACAGAGACACAGAGAGAGGGGGACAGAGACCCAGAGAGACAGAGCCACAGACACCCAGAGGGGGGGGGGGACAGAGGCACAGAGAGAGGGGGGGGACAGAGACCCAGAGAGAGGGGAGGGGACAGAGACACAGAGAGAGAGAGAGGGGGACAGAGACCCCGAGAGAGAGAGGGGGACAGAGACCCAGAGAGAGGGGGACAGACACAGAGAGAGGAGGACAGACACCCAGAGAGAGGGGGATAGAGACACAGAGAGAGGGGGACAGAGACCCAGAGAGAGGGGGACAGACACCCAGAGAGAGGAGGACAGAGACACAGAGAGAGGGAGGGGGGCAGGGACACAGAGAGAGGGAGGGGGACAGACACAGAGAGAGGGGGACAGGGACACAGAGAGAGGGAGGGGGACAGGGACACAGAGAGAGAGGGGGACAGGGGACACAGAGAGAGAGAGGGGGACAGACACCCAGAGAGAGAGGGGGACAGACACCCAGAGAGAGAGAGGGGGACAGAGACACAGAGAGAGGGGGGGACAGAGACCCAGAGAGAGATGGGGGGACAGAGATCCAGAGAAAGGGGGACAGAGACCCAGAGAGAGATGGGGGACAGAGACCCAGAGAGAGATGGGGGGACAGAGACCCAGAGAGAGGGGGGGACAGAGACCCAGAGAGAGATGGGGGGACAGAGACCCAGAGAGAGGGGGGGACAGAGACCCAGAGAGAGATGGGGGGACAGAGACCCAGAGAGGGGGGGGGACAGAGACCCAGAGAGAGATGGGGGACAGAGACCCAGAGAGGGAGGGACAGAGACCCAGAGAGAGGGGGGGGGACAGAGACCCAGAGAGAGGGGGACAGACACAGAGGGAGGGGGACAGAGACCCAGAGAGAGATGGGGGGACAGAGACCCAGAGAGAGGGGGACAGAGACCCAGAGAGAGAGGGGGGGACAGAGACCCAGAGAGAGGGGGACAGACACAGAGGGAGGGGGACAGAGACCCAGAGAGAGGGAGGGGGACAGAGACCCAGAGAGAGGGGGGGACAGAGACCCAGAGAGAGATGGGGGGACAGAGATCCAGAGAGAGGTGGACAGAGACCCAGAGAGAGGTGGACAGAGACCCAGAGAGAGATAGGGGGACAGAGACCCAGAGAGAGGGGGACAGAGACCCAGAGAGAGGGGGACAGACACAGAGGGAGGGGGACAGAGACCCAGAGAGGGTGGGACAGAGACCCAGAGAGAGGGGGACAGAGACCCAGAGAGGGGGGGACAGAGACACAGAGGGGGGGGGACAGAGACACAGAGGGGGAGGGGGACAGAGACCAGGGAGGGGGCACAGGGACCCTGGGAGGGTGGCCAAGACTCGGGCAGAGGGCAGACACTCAGAGTGAGAGGGAAAGGCCAGCCGAAGAGGGAGGGGGCCGGCACCCTGGGGAGCCAGGACCGGGAGCCGGGAGGCGGACGGATGGAGCCCTGAGGGAGAGAGGAAGGCCCGGGACGAGGGGTGGGGACCCGCAGCGCCGCCAGGAGGGGCTGCGGAGCGGGGACACTGGCACACATGTCCCGCCAGCCGGCGCTCTGACAGGGCCAGCTGCGCCTGGCCGGTAACCCGAGCCCCTGTGTATTTATAGCCTGGCCTGCCGGCCCCTGCCCAGGTCTGTGCCAGGGACAGGAGGTCAGGGCCGGGGTGCTGGGAGCAGCTCCTCCGGCCCCTCGGGAAAGCATCCGCTCGCTCAGCACGGTCTCCTGACCCACCAGCACCCCCTGGTCTAACCCCCATCCTCCTCAGCGGCCTCCCCCTCAAACACACCCCTCCCGGCCCCCGCTGCCCGGGCTCCCCGAGGTGGCCCGTCACAGGGCTGGCTGTGGTCTTTGCAGCTGCCAGCCATGAGCTTGTTGGGAGTCCAAAGTCAAGGCCCTCGAACCCTCTTCTCCTGACCAAGGAGAGACCCCTTCACCCACCCCCTCGCAGCTGGGAGGAGGAGGAGGAGGAGGAGGAAGAGGAGGAAGGGGAGGAGGAGGAAGAAGAGGAGGAGGAAGGAGAGGAGGAGGAAGAGAAGGAGGAAGGGGAGGGGGAGGGGGGACAGGAGCAGGAGGGGAAGGGCAGGGGGACTGACCCAGAATAACTCAGGGCCCAGAGTAAATTTAGCAACAGAGAGGGGAGGGGAGAGACCCTATTGGCTGGCAGGTGGGAGGGAGGGCCCGCGAGGGGTGAGGGGGCTCCGGAGGCGGCTCATTGGGGTGTCCGGTGCCCGCAGCGAGGGCCAGAGGGAGGCAGACGGGCAGAGGTGGGAGAGCCACGGCAAAGGGGCGACCGAGAGAAAGAGGAAGACTCCAGGAGAGACGAGAGCCCCCAACAGTCTCCCACGTCGCCGCCAGTGGCCACCAGAGCGAGCCTGGGACAAGGCCTGCCGCCCGTCCGTCCCCATGGGCCGCCGTGGGCCGTGGCTGCACACCGCCCTGCTCTGGGCGGCCGTGGCCAGCCTGCTCCTCCCTCCGGCTCTGGCCCAGCAGCTGCGAGGGCCCGGCCCCAGCAACTGGAACACCAATGCCGGCGTCTCCTCGGAGGACGTGTCCGGTGAGTTTGGCCACGCCGTCCACGGCCACCGAGGCCACGGCCACGAGGACGAGGCTGTTCTCACGGACCGAGGGCCTCCGTTCTGGAGCCACCGGGACCGCGGAGAGGAGGACGAGGGCGATGTCTCCGGGGAAGACGGTCGCCAGCTCCACGGCCACGGGCACCGAGGCCACGGGGCCGGAGAGGAGGATGTCTCCGACGAGGAGGCCTCCACGGAGCGTGGCCGTGGGAACCAGGATGGGGATGGTTCGGAGGAGCATGGGCGCCCCTCCCCCGGCCACGGGAGCCACGGCGGCCACCAAGACGAGGAGGAGAGCGAAGTCGTGTCCAGTGAGTATCGGCGTCACGTCATGAGGCACGGGCCCCGAGGCCACGGAGAAGAAGATGATGATGACGATGACGATGATGACGATGACGATGACGATGATGTCTCTAATGAGCATGGACACCAGGCCCATGGGCCCCGAGGCCACGGAGAAGAGGATGATGACGATGATGACGATGACGATGATGTCTCTAATGAGCGTGGACTCCAGGCCCACAGGTCCCACGGCCACAGGAAGGAAGAAGAGGAAGACGACTCCGATGAGCACCACGACCACGTCCCTGCCCACGGACACCGAGGCCACGAAGAAGACGACGACGACGATGATGATGACGACGATGATGAAGATGCCTCCAATGAGTATGGACACTGGGGGTTCGGGCACCAAGAGGAAGAAGACGACTCCGAGGAGCACCCCCACCACGTCCCCGGCCACGGACACCGAGGCCACGAAGAAGAAGAGGAGGAGGAGGATGGACCGCAGGCCCCCGGGCGCCAAGGCCACGTGCAGGAAGACGACGCTGCCCCAGACGGGCACCACCACCATGCCCTCAGCCGTGGGCATCAAGGCCACGGAGACAAGGAGGAGGAGGAGGAGGAGGAGGAGGTGTCCACGGAGCACTGGCACCATACTCCCCACAGCCTTGGGGATGAGGAGGAGGAGGAGGAGGTCACAGCCAAGTTCAGTCACCACGTGGCCAGCTACCAGGCGCGGGGCCCCGGGAGCGCGGAGGAGGGGTACCTCGCGGATGAGTATAACTCAGACCTGCCCCGCCCTCACCCCCACCGAGTCCCCGGGGAGGGAGAGGCCGGCGCGGCCACGCGTGGCCACCCAGCTCCCAGTCAACAAGGCCACGACGGCGAAGAGACCGGCCAGGAAGTGTCCGTCAAAGATATGAGTCCCCAGGCCCTAGAGCACACGGGGGTCCGGGACAGAAGCCATTTGGGGGAAGGAGAGTCTGAGGAGGAAGAGGAAGAGGAAAAAGGAGAGCGCAGCTCGCAGGAGGAGGAGGAGGAGGAGGAAGGCTCAGAGCAGAGAGAAGAAGGCACCCACCTGGCACAGGAGGACGAGGAAGAGGAGGAGGGAGGCCGGGAGCAGGAGGAGGAGGAGGAGGAGGAAGAGAGGAGAGGAGAGAGGACTGAGGTTCAGGCCCCACGGAGCCAGGCCGGCCAGGGGGAGGAGGACGAGGAGGAGGGGCTGGAGGAAACCCAGCTCCCGTTCACCATCATCCCCAACCCGCTGGCCAGGAGAGAGGCGGCCGGAGGCTCCAGTGAGGAGGAGCGTGGCGAGGCCGGTAAGCCGTCGGGCCCGGGGAGCGGGAGGAGCCGCGTCCGTGTGGTCACCGCTGCTCTCCTGTCCCCACAGGCCTGCAGGACGCCCAGGAGTACGGGAACTACCAGCCAGGGTCCCTGTGCGGCTACTGCTCCTTCTGCAACGTATGTCCCCAGCCCCGTCCGCCAAGCAGTCCCTGCAACTGGTCCCTGGGCCTGGGGCTGCCTGGGGAGGGCCCTGAGCAAAGGAAGGGCAGGGGCAGCCCTAACCGGTGAGGCTCAATGGATAGAGCGTCGGCCTGTGGACTGAAAGGTCCCAGGTTCGATTCCGGTCAAGGCCAGGTACCTTGGTTGCAGGCACATCCCTGGTGGGGAGTGTTGCAGGAGGCAGCTGATCCATGTTTCTCTCTCATCCATGTTTCTATCCCTCTCCCTTCCTCTCTGTAAAAAATCAATAAAAGGAAAAAAAAAAAAAAGGAAGGACAGGGGCGGTTCCAGGTGGAGAAAGACACTGCGGGGGCCATTTAGGGGAGGGGCTGGAGCCGAGGGGCCGCTGGGGGAGGCTGGGCCAGGGTCCGGGAAGGGGAGGGTGTGAGGAGAGAAAGGTCAGTGACCAGGAGCGGGGAGAGGAGGGTGCCCGGGGGCTGGGGCTGTGGGAAGTAAAAAGGGGGAGAAGGGAGCATCCTCAGGTCCTCCCACAGGGATGGGGGGATGGGAAACCAAGCAGTCAGAGTGGCTTTGGGGGGCGACACTGAGCTGGGGTGGGAGGTAAAGGGGTGAGGAGTTGGGGAGGGTGGGAGAGATGGGCAGGTGGCTCCCGTCTAACCAGCCCCCTCCGGCCCCCAGCGATGCACTGAGTGTGAGAATTGTCACTGTGACGAGGAGAACATGGGGGAGCACTGTGACCAGTGCCAGGTGAGACATCCCCCCGCCCCCCAGAACTCAAAGCTCCACGCCCGCCTCAGGATGGCCCAGACCCCAATCCGGCCTCTGACCTTGACCTCCACCTAGCAAGCCTCCATCCCACGCCCCCCCCCCCCATCCTGACGCTGCCTTTGACCGCGTCCTGCTACTCTTTCCGCCCCCCCTCCTAGCACTGCCAGTTCTGCTACCTCTGCCCGCTGGTCTGCGAAACTGTTTGCACCCCAGGTAAGCGTGAGGGGGTGTCTCAGGGGAAGCCTGAGGACGGGGCGGGCCCAGGGAGGCGAGTCCTGGCGGGGGGGGGGGGGGGGGGGGACCTGGGAGGCTGTGGGGCGAGGCGAGGTGTGCCGCTAGGTCAAGGCTGAGCCTGTGGGTGGAGCCGGGCGGGAACGGAGGGGCGGGGCCTGCGGGATGGACGCTGAAGCCAAAAAACATGTATTTTACCAAAAAGACGATCGTGGAACCGTAGGGCCTGCTGTTATCTCTGAATATTGTATTTTCATGGAGCTCGGTTTTATTATTAGCACTTTTAGGGCAAATGTAAATAAACCTGATCGTGCCAAAAAAATATTTTTTTAAGATTGGGGGCGGGGCCGGAGCGGGACCTTCCCGGCCTCCCAGTGGGAGGAACTGGGTTTGGGGGAGGAATTAGGAAAAGAGGGCGGAGCTGGCTTGGTCCGGGACGCGGTGAGAAGTGACCCCCTAAGTCCGCCCGCGGGGTACCCCTCACACCGTCCTCTCTCCTCCCCTACAGGAAGCTACGTGGACTATTTCTCCGCGTCCCTGTACCAGTGAGTGTGTGCGCGGGAGGGAGGGCCCTGGGCTGGGGTCCCGGGGCTGATGAATGGGGAGGCCAGCCAGCTCCCCGCGCCCCGGGCCTGACCTCTGCTCCCCCCGCAGGGCCCTGGCGGACCTGCTGGAGACGCCCGAGCCCTAGCCGGCCCCGCGGCGGCGCAGACTCCCTCCCGGCCTCCACCCCCCCACGAGCCGTATTTATTTCTCCGAATAAACGTGACCCGCGAGCCCTCCTGGTCAGGCGTCGGTCTGGCTCCCCGGGGCGCCGAGGGATCGGGCCCCGGGGCTCCGGGTCGGAGGGAGCGGAGCCCGTGCTGGGTCCGCGGGGCGGCGGGGCGGGTGGGTGGCTGAAGGTCCTGATGGGCCAATAACTCAGTCCACACGGGCGCGTTTTGAAACAGTTCTCTTTACCCGTGATCACTGAGGGGCGCCGGGGGCGGGGAGGCCGCCAGGGTCCGGGGCGCGGGCGCCCCGCGTCCTCCCTCCCCCCGCGCCCCATCGCCCAGCGGCCCCGCGGAAAGAGGATGCTCCCATGCAAACCCCGGGGCGGAGGGCATGGGGAGCGCCCCCTGCGCCCCCGCACCCCACCCCCGGGGCACGGACACGGCCACGGCACGGGGGGCGGGGCCCCGGGGACACAGACACTGGGGGGAGGGGCCCGCCCGCAGCTGGCCCCGGGCCGCCGGGCACCGCGGCGGCGGGCGGGGCTGAGTGGCACTGGGCGGGGGCGAGGCTTGTAGCAGCGAGTCCGCCTCCCCTCCTTTCGGACGGAGGAGGAGGAGGAGGAGGAGGAGGAGGAGGACTGGGGCCCCGCGACCGGGGAGGACGCATGCGGCCCCGGGAGGACAGCCCCGCCCCCTCCCGTGGGAACGGGCACCCGCCTCCCGTCGGAAACTGATCAATAAATTACAAAGTGGGGCCAGGGAGCGGGGAGAGGGGGCGGGATTCCGCCGCCCGCTCCGTTCCCCCCTCGGTCCGGTCCGCGTGGTTTGGTCCGGGCCAGTCCCTGTGGCGGGCGCCCCCTCCGGGCTGTGCGGATGGTCCGGTCCGCGCGCCCAGCGGCGAGGCCGCCCCGGGCGGGAGGGGGCGGCCCGGCCTCTGGGGGGCGCTGCATCCGGGCGAGGTCGCCTGCAGGGGCGCCGGCCTGCGCGGAGCGGCGAGGATCCACGGTGCTGCCCCGGGCCCGGACCGCCCGGCCCTCGCCGGCGGCCTGCACTAGCAGGAGTAGGTCCGCACCGACACGCCGTCCGCCCGGGAGTTCCCGGAGGGCGGGCCTGCGGGAGAGCGGGCAGCGGGTCAGCGGGCGCGCGCACCCGCACCGGCACCCACACCCACTCCGCACCCACTCCCGCACCCACACCGACGCCCGCACCCACCCCGGCACCCGCACCCGCACCCACTCCCGCACCCACACCCACACCCACTCCGCACCCACACCGACGCCCGCACCCACCCCGGCACCCGCACCCGCACCCACTCCCGCACCCACACCCACACCCACTCCCGTACCCACTCCCGCACCCGCACCGACACCCGCACCCACACCCACACGGGCACTGGCACCCACACCCGCACCCACACCGACACCCGCACCCACACGGGCACCGGCACCCACACCCGCACCCACATCCGCATCCACACCCACTCCCGCACCCGCACCGGCACCCGCACCCGCACCCACACGGGCACCGGCACCCACACCCGCACCCACATCCGCATCCACACCCACTCCCGCATCCACACCCACTCCCGCATCCACACCCACTCCCGCACCCGCACCGGCACCGGCACCCGCACCCGCACCCACACGGGCACCGGCACCCACACCCGAATCCACACCCACTCCCGCACCCACACGGGCACCGGCACCCACACCCGCACCCACACCGCACCCACACCAACACCCGCACCCACACGGGCACGGGCGCCCGCACCGGCACCCACACCCGCACCCACTCCCGCACCCACACCGACACCCGCACCCACACGGGCACCGGCACCCACACCCGCACCCACACCCGCATCCACACCCACTCCCGCACCCACACGCGCGCGCGCCCGGTCCTCCCGGGTTTCTCCGATGTGATGGTCCAATGAGCGGACCTTCCTCGGAATCCCCCTCCGCATCTTGGCGGTTTCCCTCCCTTTCCCGCAGACGGTCCCGGTGCCCGGCGGACAGCAGGCGGGTTCATTCCCCCTGGAGGGAGGGTGCAAGGTGAACCCCTTCCCACCCGGAGGGGAGGGTTGGCTTTCGGAGCGGCCCGGCCACTCCAGAAGCCGGAGGGGGAGGAGGAGGAAGGGGAAGAGGAGGGGGAGGGGGAGGAGGAGGAAGGGGAAGAGGAGGGGGAGGGGGAGGAGGAGGAAGGGGAAGAGGAGGGGGAGGGGGAGGAGGAGGAGGAGGAAGGGGAAGAGGAGGGGGAGGGGGAGGAGGAGGAGGAAGGGGAAGAGGAGGGGGAGGGGGGAGGAGGAGGAAGGGGAAGAGGAGGGGAGGAGGAGGAGGAAGGGGAAGAGGAGGGGGAGGGGGAGGAGGAGGAGGAGGAAGGGGAGGAGGAGGAGGAGGAAGGGGAAGAGGAGGAGGAGGAAGGGGAAGAGGAGGGGGAGGAGGAGGAGGAAGGGGAAGAGGAGGGGAGGAGGAGGAGGAGGAGGAAGGGGAAGAGGAGGGGGAGGGGGAGGAGGAGGAGGAAGGGGAAGAGGAGGGGGAGGGGGAGGAGGAGGAGGAAGGGGAAGAGGAGGGGGAGGAGGAGGAGGAAGGGGAAGAGGAGGGGGAGGGGGAGGAGGAGGAGGAGGAAGGGGAGGAGGAGGAGGAGGAAGGGGAAGAGGAGGAGGAGGAAGGGGAAGAGGAGGGGGAGGAGGAGGAGGAGGAAGGGGAAGAGGGGGAGGGGGAGGAGGAAGGGGAAGAGGAGGGGGAGGGGGAGGAGGAGGAGGAAGGGGAAGAGGAGGGGGAGGAGGCCTCCGGGATGCAGAATTAGTTGGTCCTTTCCCTCCCCCCCGGGGGGGGGGGCACCCACCTTCCGACTGCAGCTTGCGAAGGGGGAGCCCCGGCGAGCCCAGGGCCCCCGCCGCGGCCGAGCGGAAGTTGGGGGGCAGCATCTCCGCGGAGTCGGGGCTCACGCCCCGGAGGTCCTTCTCCCGGAACATCTTCCGCCAGGACGGCGAGCGGCTGAAGGACTTGGCGCTGTCCTGGGTACGGACCGGGCGTCCGGGTGGGACCGGGTCCGGCTGACTCCGCCCCCTCCCCTGGCCCCGCCCCTTCCCGTGTCTCTTCCACCTGCCCCGGCCCCGCCTCCGGGCAGCCCCGCCCCGGCCCCGCCCTGAGGGTGCCCGGAGCCCAGCCCCCGGAGGGCGCGCCCCACCTCGTCCAGCCGCCGGTCTGTGCCCAGGGAGATGAGGTTACTGAACTCCTTTTCCAGGAGCTGGCGGGCCTGGGGAGGAGAGGAGGGCGGGGCTGCAGGCTGCGGGGGTGGGGGTGGGGGTGGGGGTGCCCGGTGCGGTCCGGCCCGGCGGCCGCGCTCACCTGCGCGTTCTGCGTGGGGATCTGCAGGAGCAGCGCCAGGTCCGAGTAGTCGAAGGTCTCGTCCAGGGCCAGCAGCGCCCCGTGCACCCCGCTCTCCGTGAGGTTCGTGGCGAATTCCTTCAGCCCCAGGCCGGACACCCAACCCATGACCCGCTCATTGGACCATACCATCACATCTGGGACCACAGGAACCCTCGGCTCAGCGCAGGCCCGTCCAGGGTAGCCCAGACCTTCATTCACCCACTCTCCTGGCGCTGGCTCCGCCCCGTGGCGTACGGTAGCGCTTTTCTCCTTTGTCCAGCCTGGCCCCCCCCAGGGACTCACCCTCTCCTACTCACCCCGGATCTGGGTCTGACTCTCCTCCCGCCGCCGCTCCAGGTCTTTCCGGTCGTAGTTGAGCCGTTTCAGGCACATGATCCCGTAATGCAGGCTCACCCTGAGCGGCAGGGGGAGGGGCGTCACAGAGGAGCCCTCCCGCCCCGGGGCTGCTGCTCCCGTGGGGCCCTCCCCACCGCCTGGCCTTCCGGGAGAGGTCAGAGTTAGTCCATCGGGGCAGTTCTAGGGATTGCCGACCTCAAAGCTGGCTGCTGCCCTGACCGGTGTGGCTCAGTAGATAGAGCGTCGGCCTGCGGACTGAGAGGTCCCAGGTTCGATTCCGGTCAAGGGCATGGACCTTGGTTGCGGGCACATCCCCGGTGTCGGGTGTGCAAGAGGCAGCTGATGGATGTCTCTCTCTCTCACCGATGTTTCTGACTCTCTATCCTATCCCTTCCTCTCTGTAAAAAGTCAATAACATATATATTTATTTTTAAAAAGCTGAGGTGCGCCGAAACCAGTTTGGCTCAATGGATAGAGTGTCGGCTTGGGGACTGGAGGACCCGGGTTCGATTCCGGTCAAGGGCATGTACCTTGGTTGCGGGCACATCCCCAGTAGGGGGTGTGCAAGAGGCAGCTGGTCGATGACTCTCTCTCATCGATGTTTCTAACTCTCTATCTCTCTCCCTTCCTCTCTGTACAAAATCAAATAAAATATATTTTTTAAAAAGCTGAGGTGCTTTCAGCAGGCAGTTCTTATTTGCAAACCTGGAAGGCGTGTGGCCTCCGCCAGCCGAGCTGTCTCAGAATCGGGACTTTTCCTAGTGGGCATCTTATTGACGGAAGGGGCTGGGGGTCGGTTTCGGGAGAATCTCCCCCCCCCCCCAGCCCCGCTGGCCCAGACGCTGCAGGATGGGCCCCGGGTGCCTGTCGGGCGGCGCCCACCTGTGGAAGCTGTCCACCATCTTCAGCTGGCCGCGGAGCTCCTTCTTGTTGAGGTGGTCCAGCATGCGGGCGTCCACCAGCGACTCCATGAAGTAGCTGCGGTACTGGGGCAGCCCCAGGCTGGGCAGCCAGTCGTTCCCCACCCACTCGTGGTTCATGTCGCCGTATGCCAGGATCTGGGCCGGGGCAGGCAGGGGAGGGTCAGGCCCTCGGACCCCTCCCTTCCCATGTATGTACGCAGGGGTACAGCCTGACCCCCGACCCAAGGCCGTGCTTTTTCCACCCCTGACCCATCCAGAGGGGTCTCCCGCTCCCTCAGGATGACAGCACGGAGCCTGTCTACGCAGGGATGGTCCTTGGGCCCACAG